TTTCACCATTAATGGCAGAGGGGTTGCCCTCGCCAGTCGGCCTTGACGGAGACGGCCAAAGCAAATTTTTATTTTTTTTAAATAAAAATAGGTTCCACATCAGCTTTATATTTGTAACATGTAATATGTCTCCTTTCCTTTATATTTGTAACATGTAATGTCAACCTTTTATTCTCAGGCTATGTGATGAGGCTACTAGTGCACTCGACAGCACAACGGAGGCTGAAATTTTGAATGCGTTGAAGTCGCTTGCAAATAATAGAACCTCGATCTTCATTGCTCATAGGCTTACTACTGCCATGCAGTGTGATGAGGTTAGTAGCTGCATTTGTTTAACGCAATTTTCTCTTGAACAATTGCATATGGAATCTGCAGAACTGTTGAACTTCCATTCCTCTCAACCGAAAATCTAACTTCTCACTTTTGGAGCCTCATTGGAATGGTTTTTCAAGTTCTTAAAACTTTTTTAACCCTCTGAAAAGTCATTTGACCTTGTAAACTACCTGATAGTTATATGCAGTAAGCCGTTGTTGTTGTCTTTGGTTTACATTCTCATATAACACCAATTTCAATTTCTCAAATCTTGCTTTCAAAACTCTCTTTCGAAATCTCTTTGCCTCCGTTTTCTAAAACTTTCTTCCTGAATCGGGGCCAGAGGCTCGAGTATACGTCGCTTAGCTATAGGCGACGCAGTGAGTGTCGCACAATCGCAAATCCACTGCCATCAAATGCGAGTGTGACAAGACTTATCAACCCCAACAAATATGGCATTATTTGTTACAAATCCTTCATTAGCCAAAATTACGAATTTGTTGGCAATCCCTTATTAGTGAAAACCCTCTGTAATTTGCAGATTATAGTTTTAGAGAACGGGAAGGTGGTTGAACAAGGACCCCATGAAGTTCTCTTGTCAAAGGCAGGAAGATATGCGCAGCTGTGGAGCCAGCATAATAATACCATTGATTCGCTTGAGTCTGCAGTTAAACTGGAAGCGCAATAAAAGGGGTAATGATTAAGATCATTCAAAATAATAGCCCCTACCAATAGTTTATAATCTGTGCAATGGATTATAATGGATTATAGGCCCTTGATTTTTCTTGTGTACCATATTATATACTTTGATTTCTTTTTAAGTACTTTTCTCATCCATTCAAAACGAGTTTAATTTAAGAGTCTTGTGTCTTAGATTCGATGTGAATACTATTTCCTTCGTGTTTGTTCTCACAGTTTTGGCTACCATAACTATTAACACTTGGAGCAAAAAAAATCATATGAAATTGTATAGGAGTGACTTCAAATAAAAAATCGAAACCCGGACACCGACACTCCCGCACCAACATCAGTTTTCATTAGATATTCTATCAGATTCGTGCTTCGAAGTTATTTTGAAATTTCTAAAAAAAAAAAAAGAAGCTCATAATGTAATTTTTAAAAGAACATGCATATTTTGTGATTGATAATTGTTCTCATTTAGAGGCTCTAAACATCCAATTATAATGGGAAGTGAACAGTGAAAGGCGGCTATTGAGATTAAAAGGTATTGTGCAATTTGGGTCCTTCGCTTTGGAATTATTGGTCCCTTTAAATCTGTTTGGTAAACAAACAATGGACCCACCAAATCCACTCCCATAGTTTTGCCTTTGGCGTATTAACTAACCCATTTTCCACTCTTTTTAATATTCAATTACTCAATCCCCAATACCTTTATTTCATGTCACCACACCTCTCTCTCTCTCCTTCCTTTGTAATAGTGCATGCTAGTTAATTTCTTTAGGGCATAGTACTTTTCATACATTAAAATGTCACTTTCATCGTTATAAAAGTTAAATTTCTCTTCTTTATTTAAGATCGTGATAATATTACTGCGTTTATTTACGAATCATTCAATAACAAAGAAGTTCACGACCCGTGTGCCTTTTACCTCCACATGGCATTGTTTTGTCAAGCTTTCGCTTATGGCAAAAAAGTTCCCACTGTTGTCTCTCATAGGAGTATTGGTCATGTCACAGTCCCGGTATGGTTGATCATCCTCTCGAATCAGCTATTGATCATCGCTTTGTTAAGCTATTGCCTCACCAACTAGCTAATCGACATGAGCCCCTCCTTGGGTGGTCCTCTTTTTGCTCCTCAGTTTCCAAGGTATCAGCTACAGTTTCTAACGGTTGTTCCCCTCTCAAAAAATTAAAGTAATTATTTGCACCAATATATAAAAAGACATTTGTAATTCTTATACAAGGAGAGCTTATGGACAAAAATGAGGATTTCAATGGCTTTTGTCATTGATGATCAATGTTCACAAGAGCAAGACGATTCAATATCTTATAATGTTCAAACTTCTTTCTTTGTGAACTCGAAGAGGAAAAGGTGATCGATTTCTTCTTCTTTTCTTCTGACCTAATTATTCGTTTATTGATGATTCAATTATCATTTGTTTTGTTTCTACCTTTACATATTAAACCGTTTTTTAGGGAGTAAATCATGAATTCTAACTTTAATCCATTTTTTTCTAGCAAGTTTGACATTTTAAGGATGTTTAATCAATTTTTTTCTAGCAAGTTTGACATTTTACGGATGTTTACATCCATACACTTAGTATTTGTCACCCGGACTCCGAAGCATCTCAAGCTCAAGTTTTTACTTTGCAAGTTCGAGACCATTGTGAATTTAAATTTAAAAAGTAATTATTGCCTATTTTGAATTTAGAACTGTGTTCGAACTAAAAAGAAAAAGGAAAAAAAGGAAGAAAGGAAAATTTTCCTTATCACTCCCTAAACTTGTTATTTATAATTAATTTCAGCCACATCACAAATTTCACCTAATTTTTAATATAATAGAGATTTATCATCATTTTATTATTTAATTCGCAACCTCGTTGAATATTAATGGACATTCCATGCTGTTCGGAACCTTCCCCACTTAGTAAATGACGTCAACCAAGAAATAGTCCAAGTCCAGCTCCAACTCCCCGAAATCTTCTTCGCCGCCGTACTGCCTCCGCGCCGCCGGCAAGCTAGCCGTCGCCATGGCAAATCCGAACTCATCGATCTCTCCACAATAAAGCATCTCATCTTTCGGAGTAAATACGCCGTCGTAATGAAGTACTGACGCCGGCGACCAAACCGCCGTCGTTCTGGGCGAGTTTAAGCCGTCCTCCTGCTTGTTACCCCCGTCGGCCGCCGTTGTAACTGCCCCGTCACTGGAGAAGTTCGTTATGGCGTTGGGGCCCTGAAGTTCCAAAGCAGCTCGGTCGTAAACCGCCGCCGCCTCTTCCGCCGTATCAAAGGTTCCAAGCCATATCCGCTTTCTGCGAATCGGATCTCGGATTTCCGCCGCCCAACGGCCCCAAGCCCTCTGTCTGACTCCTCTGAACTTCTTCCGGCAAGATGATTTGGACCTACGTGATCTAGGATTCCGCTTCTTGCTAATCTCCGAAACAGGGGACTCTGCTGAAGAACCATCAAGAACAGAGTAACGATTAATTGTGATCTCTCTTACTTGTCTTCTAACTGCCGTTCTTGATCCCAAAATCAATTCATCTTCACTGGACGAATTGGTGGCGTCGGCGTCTGTGACGATGATCCTAACAAGCTTTTGCTCCAGCTTTGCAGAGTCCCCGGAAGTAGCCGGTTTCCAGCGGCAGTTAGCTCTGTCCCCCGACAAAGAAGCCATGTCCGCCGCCGACATGTTAGATATGAAAGAACACTCGCTCTAACAAGACTGAGAAGCTTTTTGGTTAATATCAGAATTCACAAGTGGGCAGATACAGAACAGAGTCACAAAGCAAGAAGAAGCTCAATCAATCAGTAAAATCAGCAAAACAAGGAAGAAGGATCAAACGCAAGAACATCATCGAAATTAGCTTCACAAAAGACACCAAATTGAACAAGAAACAGAGAAGATTGAAGGATCAGCCACCAAGAATCCCCTTTCACTTCAGAAACCAAAGTCAGAAGGAGGAGGAGAAGAAGAAGATGCAGAGACAATGAAAAGGGAAGACTGGGGAGTGGAAAACACAAGTCTAAGCAAGAAGATTGAAGGCAGATATATAGGAATATTAGTGCAAAGAATCAAAGAATGTTCAAATTATACATGTTTATTTGGTGGGATTTCTTCCAAGGAGAATTGGCCACGTTGTTGGGAGACTGTACACCTGCGAGGCAAGTTGAGAGAAATTTACATTCAAAGAGAACAAAACTAGATATTTTGGCTTCTCCCATTTCCCACTAGAATCTAAGAGAGTCAGGGTGGACTCTCATATTGACTCAGATCTACGAGTAAAACTCAAAAGATTATGTGCTCAGATGCTTCTGTGCAGTGAAATGATATTTGTATTCTACTAATAATAGAGATTTGGTGATGGAACTGAAGAAAAGAATGAATGATGCTAAAGAGATTCATTTAGATCAATAATACTAGTGACTGAAAGAAGCTCTTCGTCACAACTTCGATATTTGACCCTTTTCATAAATAAAGGGACACGTTGGTACTCAATGATTCATTCCCAATAACATACTTTCCCATCAAGCCTAAACTCTTATGAAGTATGAATTTTTATGTGAGATCTCACATTAATTGGAGAGAGTAACGAGTACCAACAAGAACTCTGAGTCTCGAAGGAGGAACTAGTACTAGTAAGTACACTGGGCTCCAAAGGGGTAGATTGTGAGATCCCACATGAGTTGAAGAGGGAAACAAACACTTCTTTATAAGAGTGAAAATCTCTACCTAACAAACACGTTTTAAAACTTTGAGGAGAAGTCCAAAAAGGAAAGTCCAAAGTGGTTGGCAACGGTTAAAAGCTTATCAGTCCCCTGTTGGCAAGATCTGTTGTGAAATATCTCCTACATTCTAAGATTTGTATCGAAAGGTTGGTTAAGTTCATCGTTTAATCATCATCCTAATAATCCAACCCTTGGATTCATACTGATCCAAGCAGAACAGGACAGGACAATCAAACAGCTTTCCAACTCATAACAAATATGAAAACCAATCATTTGACAATAAGTTAAAGGACTTCCATTATATAATTTCTTCAAATCGATATTCACAATGAAAGTTAAATTCCTTACAAAAGCTTTAAGTCTTACGAATACAGAGGCTTTCATTCCTTCAAGTTCATAGAAGTAAGATTCAAGGCGCTTCTTCTATCTTCTAAGAGCTGAGATGGGCTTAGCTGTAGAAACTATCCCATAGCATACTTTTGAGTCCAGCTGCGTGCAGTACCTTCATACTTGGCTCTATCAGTCTTGTACATGTGAGCAATTTCAGGGACGAGGGGATCATCGGGGTTGGGATCCGTTAACAGAGAGCATATGGACAACAGCACCTGAAGTATATTTAGTTCATGTTAAAGTTCTATAAGATTCTAACTTCAAATGGATTGATATAAAAACAGCTAATTTACAGTAAGGTATAGCAATAAGGTTGCATAAAATTTTCCCGCTTGAATCAATAAGGATGCTGTTAGGATCGCACAACAACGCACACTCGATCTAGATGAACACAAAGAACAGGATAGAGAAATTGCAAGGAGAACTCTGGCTGAAGGATTTGTATTGATGAGTATGTATAAGAGAGAAAACAGAGAATAGAAAGTACATTTTCAAAGCTCTACCGGAAGAAGATATATATGACTCAGTTTATATGTATATAGCTTTAACAGATTTAACCATCTACTACTATTTACCATATATAGCTTTACCGGATATAACCGTTGACCAAGCTATAAATAAGAGAGCAAGCTCCATAACCTAACCGATGCATGGTTGCTTTTCGAGGTTTCTAATCATGTGATTCAATTCAAAGAGATGACATTTCACCACTTAACAGGGAGAAGTTCTAATCGAGATAAACCTAGATATCTTTCTCAAGCTAATATTTCTATGAAAATTTCATACTACCGGCTGAAATCCTTGATGATAAAATATTCAAACACTAAGAGTTGGGATAATTATCAAGTATCAAGGAATTTCTGAAATTATGTAACAATTCAAAAGGAGAATCATTTGAGGCCCTAAGCCACTGCAAGTAGATATTGTCCACTTTGGGTTTTCTTTTCGAGTTTTCTCTCAAAGTTTTTAAAATGCATCTGCTGGAGAGAGGTTTTCACACAAGAATGTTTCGTTCTCCTCCCCAACCTATGTGAGATCTCACAATCCACCACCCTTTAAGGCCCAGCGTCCTCTTTGGCACTCATTCCCTTCTCCAATCGATGTGGAACCCCTCAATCCACCCCTTCAGGGCTCAACGTCCTTACTAGCACACCGCCTCGTGTCCACCCCTTTAGGGCTCAGCTTCCTCGCTCACAGATATTGTCTTCTTTGGGCTTTCTCTTTTGGGCTTCCCCTCAAAGTTCTTAAAACGTCTCCCCTAAGGAGAGGTTTCCACACCCTTATGAAGAAAGTTTCGTTCTCCTTCCCAACCGATGTGGGATTGTCCCAATACATCCCTTTGGGACCCAACATCCTCACTGACACTCTCCCTTCTCCAATTGATGTGGGACCCCTTAGAGTGATCCAAACCCCACTCAATAATCCTAGCCTCCACCTAAAACACGATGATAATGGGAAATTTACCAACACAACTATAAAAGAGAGGATTCAGAATAGTCAAAGATCTCAATAAAATTGAAAACAAGAACATCTCATCTCTACGTATTGCAAAAAACCACACACAGAATATCAATTTCAAGGCCATTCAGTCAGACTTCACAGTTCCAAGAAGACGGAACATAAATATATGACTCTTACGATAGAGCATATAGCCAATTGGTGGCAGTAAAACAAAGTAACAGATAGTTTACAGAAAAAACAGAGAACATGTGCAAACAACATTTATCAATAGAAACTAGTTTAGTTGGTTAGTTTCAAGAGACTGTAAATTCCAACAAACCTTAGAAATAGTTAGCGCAGGGCTCCACTGTTCTTTAAGAATGTCCAGACATATGCTTCCATTGCTATTAATGTTTGGGTGGAACACCTTAGTCCTAAAAGCAACCTGCGAGGTTTAAAGAGTTCAGTTTTTGGGAATCATAGACCGGTTTACAATGACAGTGACATGAAAAAATCAAAATCAAGAGCATCAAGCTCAGTGAAAACTCTCAATAAAACAATCCCGATGTTTTACATGCTGTCCGAGTAAGCAAGGAAGTCGATTCATTGGCCATATCAGTACATAAGAGTATAAGAAACAACAGGAACAAATGCAAAGATTCAAACCAGAAAGGATTTAACCTTTGGGGGCTTGAAAGGATAGTCCGGAGGGAAATGGATAGAAACTAAGAATACACCTCCTGTATATGGAGAATCAGCAGGTCCCATGATAGTTGCTTGCCAATGAAACATGTCTTCTGCCACAGGACCTAAGGAAAACCGTATGAAGACAATAACCATATGAATTTCGACGTTCTTTTTGCAAAAATAAAGTTCTTGAGTAAGAAATTCACAGAAGAGAACCAAAAATAGGATGTCGCAGTAGAAACAAACATTCCACTTTCTCAATCATGAACAATAAAGATCAGAAGTTCATATACCAGCGCTGCAAGACGTAGGAGGATCCTTCTGTAAATCCTTGAGCTCTTTAAGAATACGTTTGGAAGCCATTGATTCCTCGAAAACAAACGCGAAATCTGAACTCCAAACACAAAATAGACCAAAATTTTCAATCAGAACAAAAGATTTCAGCTCACGCAGGCAATCAAACACAACTAATAAACATTCAAAAGACCAAAAACAAAACAAAACAAAATAAGAGAGAAAATTCGCCGACCTTTGAGATTAACTGCAGAAGAGATAGAGCGAGTGAGGAATACCTCGGGAGGTATAGATCGACGGGAAAGGGTTTAGCTCTTATGAAGAGAGAAGCAGAGAAGCTATGGAGAAGACAGAATCTTGGCAGAATTATTAAATAATGACAGATATTAGACGCTTCTAGAATTTTTTCCATTCTCGAATTTCTTACCATTTATTTATTTATTTTTATTTATATAAAAAATAATTATAATTTTTTTCCATTCTCGAATTTATTACCATTTATTTATTTATTTTTATTTATATAAAAAATAATTATAAATGGGGATGGGGGACTTTCATCCACCAACACTAAGTTTAGAGCTTCGCTCTAATATCAACTTAGATTAACACGGCTCTCCACAATAGAGATAGTATTCTTTGATTATAAACTCATGATTCTTCTCTAAATTAGCCAATGTAGACTTTCATCCACCAACAATAGTAACTTGCATTATTTGAAGTCCTTGTCGAGCATATTGTTCCTAAGACCACTCTTGTTCGAGTATGGTCTAATTAATTTACGTATCTCCTTTACTCAAGTCTCACATTAAACGTCTTAGGTTGAGTGGGCTATAGATCAATAAACAGGGCTATTGATCAATGAACGAGATAGCGACGCAAATGAGTATCAGATCCAATGAATTCAAATCAGATAGCAGTTTTGATTGGTTCACATTCAATCAATCCTAAAGAAACTTAAAAATCAGATGAACTCTACAAAGTACAAACGCATGGAAGCCAAAAGGTCTGGGGGTAATGTTGGAAAGAAAATGATTGAACTTAGCCTTCCTAATTTGCACAATTCTTCCTCAAATAATGAAAATAAACACAATCTAAATGAATGAATTCATGGGGTCTGCACATTTGAGTCCTTCGATTTGTTCTCTTCGGACGATGGCCGGTTCTCCGAGTCAGATTGCCGGATTTCTTCGATCATTCTAACGACTTCGTCCATGCTCGGTCTCATGTCGGGCAACTTCGCTACACAAGTCATTGCTATTTGTAACATCTGCACCATCTCTTCTTCGATATTCTGGTACCTCATTAGCTCGACATCGAAAACCTCAGCTGTCCATTCCTCCCTCACAACAGACTGGACCCACCGAGGGAGATCGACCATATCGTCACGACGTGGTGATTGCAGGGGAGCTTTTCCAGTTAACATTTCAAGAAGAAGAACACCAAAGCTGTAAACATCTGACTTGTGTGTGTGTTTCCGAGCTTCGATCACCTCGGGCGCACGATAATCTGCAGTTCGAGAAGTTGGGACATTCATAAGAGGAGTAAGGCCAAAGTCGGAAACACAGGCATTCACATCTTGAGTTAGGAGAACGTTTGAGGCCTTGATATTTCCATGGGTGAATTTCGGACCGCCCACTGTATGGATTTGAGCAATTCCCTTCGCCGTTGCAAGAGCGATCTTCACTCTCGAGTCCCAGTCGAGCGGAGTTCTTTCCCCTCCTCTGTTTCCTGCAATAAGAAATAGTCTCACATAATCATAGATATGCTGTGAACATTTCTAAAGATTGATTAGCCCAACTGGACCATTCAACGTCCCACAAGGATTAGAAACAAATTTGTATTCTGTTCAACGTCGAAAATACCAACAAAACGAACTTTTGTGATCACTTCAGTTGTTTTCAAAATGAAACTGAGGAGCGAAAAGTACAAAAGAATTTAAGTAATAGCATCGGGGACGTAAGGGAAAACATACAACACTTTCCGAGTATCATTCTAAACTAGCATTTTCTATTAACTCCCCGTTTTAGCTAGACACAAGTTCACCCGTAAATCGAAAAAGTACACGAGGAGGACCTCGCATCGTGTTCAAAGGCATTCTTTCTCGATCATTCTTAGCAGAAGGCATGAGGAGGACCTCGATCGTTCGTTATGGGATTGCCAATTCGCTTAGATTCTTTGGGATCACTCGAGAACCTCGCTTGGGATAGGGATGGTAGTTCGTTGTTCGAGGAGATGCTTCTAAATCCCCGGACAAGCTAGCTTCTTTGAGGAGTTTAAGGAAATGGTTAGGTTTAATGTCTCTTTTTCGGCTTCTGTCACTTGGTCTTGTGTTTTTTTTTAGATTGGAGTCATTTTTCGTAACTATTCTAGAACTCCATTCGTTCGAGCTTGGTTTCTGTACGCTCTTGTATTCTTTCATTTTTCTTAACGAAAGCTCGGTTTCTTACAAGTACAGAAGTTGTCTGTACTTACACACAACAGCCTTTTAAGTCGGTATAAAACTAAGGTAGACAAAGAGATTGTTGTAACGGAGAATTAACGAGTTTATAGAACGAAAAGAAAGAGCACGTACCATGCAAAAGTGATGACAAGCTGCCTCCCGGGACGTAATCATAAACGAGGAGCTTTTCATCCTTCGAGTAATAATACGCTCGGAGTGGCATGACGTTCGGGTGCTGCGTGATCCTTCCCACAACCTCCATTTGTTGTTCAAACTCCCTCTTCCCCACCACCACTTCCTTCAACCTTTTCACGACAACAGTGGTAGGTTCCTCCAGAACAGCTTTATAAGCTGTTCCATAGCTGCCCTTTCCAAGCACTTCAGCTGAAGCTCTCAATAGATCTTCAAGATCAAAGTTAAACGAACAGCCTTCAAAAAACACCAGCTTGTTTTTCTCAGGCTCCTGCACGCCACTACCGAACTCCTCTTTCGGTTTTTCACTTCTCCCGCCACCCGAAACCTTCCCTTTTCTTGTGCCGGAGTGTTCACCATCCTTTTTCCTTAAACAACACAAAACCATAAAAAGAACTCCAAGGAATAGAAGGAAGAATCCACCAACTGCAATAGCAATGATAACTCCCATCTTCAGTTTTTTCGAGCTCTGCTTTTGAGAAATGGCAGGTGAAGATGGAGCATTAGGAGCTGGAGAAAGGTCTACGGAGCAAGCGTTTACAGGCGCTCCACATAATAAAGGATTTCCAATGAACGACGAACTCGGGAATGTATTAAAAGAAGTCGGAATAGAACCAATGAGATGGTTATAACTTATATTGAAATGCTTGAGCTTCGGGAGGTCGATATCCGGTATTGAACCAGAAAGATTGTTGTTCTGAAGGTTCAATCCAGTTAGTTGAGTCAAATTTTGTATAGTCTTTGGAATCTTCCCTTCTAATGAATTGAACGATAGGTCCAATACGTTAAGAGTAGGAGAAAAGGAGGACGGAACACCACCAGAGAAGTTATTCCGTTGGAGAAAAAGATATTGAAGAGAAGGAAGTGAGGTGATATCGGACGGTATTCTTCCGCTAAGGAGGTTGGAACGGAGACTAAGAACCTTGAGACCATGAAGTTTCCCTAGAGTGTTAGAAGGAATCGAACCGACAAGTCCGATCCCCGGTAACCGGAGGGTAACCACATGAGTTCCATCTTCACTGCAAGTAATGCCAACCCAAGTTGTGCATACAGAGGCAGTGTTGTTCCAGTTGAGGCTCCGACGATGTGGAACCGAAGATGCAAAGTCAAGAAGAGCTTGCTTGTCGGATTCGAGGTCCGCAATGGCAAAGGGAAGTAGATGAACAATAACAAAAAACAAAGGAAACGCTGATACTGAATAGAACTTCATTTGGAATTAAGTAACATAGGATGCTTGAAGAACGTAACTGCAAAAGTGACAACAATGATCCCTTCTGGCCCTGTTGTTTTACCTGCCACAAATTTGGTAAGTAAAGCTTATGCAAATTTTCAAGTTAAAACGTCGACCGAACATAGCTCAATTAGTTAAGGCATATATCTCGACCAACGGGTCCGAGCTTTGAATCTCCCAAAAGTTCCTAGCAGTATTCTAGTTTCATAACGTAGAAAGTAAAGAACGTGGACATTTTCCAGTCATTATCATGCCATTAGAGCCTACAAAATTGACAATCAGAAGAACATAATTTCCAACAAAAGGACAGGGATGTTCTTGTTTGAAACCCCAAAAACGGTGTTCAATCTTTTTCCTACTTAGCTCCATAAACAAATCTTGTGAAAGTAAACCTGAAAATCATCTTCAAGTGTAATGCCAGCTCAAAAACATACAATTCCAACAAAACAAATTCCCGACAAGAACACAGATCTATCATCTAAGTAACATCCAGATGCATAAACTCAGCGAAACTAGACAGAAATGGAGTAACAACATAACGACAAACAAGTGAAGTGAAAGAACCTGAAAACACTCAATCATCCGACGGCGTTACCGGAAGAAGTAGCCAGCGGTGAAATGAGCTGCAAAGAAGCTCAAGAGAAGGTCGCCATGGGAGGTGGAGCTGCGGCGGAGAGGATTTGCAGTAAAATGTAGCAGTGAAGAAGCTTCACATCCCGCCGGAATGAAGGGATCTGAGGCAAAAAGAGGTTAAAATCGAGTGAAAGAGAGAGAATGAAGAGATTAATCGAAATGGGTTCGCAAAAAAGGAGAAACTAAGGATTAGAAAAGTGAAAGCACTCAGAATCACCGCTCCTTGGCTACTTTTTTTGGGGAGCAGAGAGGAATTGGTGTCATTTTCAAGAGGAAAGTAAGGAAAAAGGAAGAAACCCACTATGATTCCATGGTGCTCACTGTGAAACTAAGCTGAGGTTCTCAATTAATTGTTCTTCTTGTTCGTTCTTCAATCAACCCATCCATGTTCTATCATGCTTTTGCTTCCACAAACTCAAATTTACAATTTTACCATAAAAATTTAAAAGGAATTAATAATTAAAGAAAAGCAATTTATAATTTAATAATATATTTTTAATTAAGAAAAACATAAAGCTACAAAATAATGATTAAAGTAAAACGCAGCCGTATCTTTTTTAAATTATATCTATTTTGTATTTAAAATGAAATAAGGTAAAACGTGTACCAAACAAAACGACAGCGTTTTGTTTTTTTCTCTTTTATTTATTATAATAAAAATAAGCAAAAATAATATCTTCTATTTTTTATGTTTCATTTTCTAGCGTTCAAACAATTTTTTATTTAAAATAACTATTTATTTTTTAAGATTGAATTTAAACACACCACGTGCTTTATGACCTTTGGTCTTAATATTTTAAATAATTTATTTATTTAAAATATCAATTAAATAATTTCATTAAAAAAAATTATTATTATCTATTTTATTGTTTTTTTTT